AATTAATTAAAATTTAAAAAAATAATTTTCATGACAAAAAAAAAAAAAAAGAAAGAAAGGTAAATTCTCAAAATATTCTGTTGGTCTCCTTTTGGAGCTCCTGTCCCCTCCAGGTCTTTCTAGCTCCTCCTTCTTTCATGAGGTTCCCTGCACTCTGCCCAAAGTTTGGCTATGAGTCTCAGCCTCTGCTTCAATACTTTGGTCAGTAGTCTTTCAGAGCCCCTCTGTGGTAGGCTCCTGTCCTGTTCCCTGAATTCTCCTGCTTCAGATGTCTATCACATTTGCCCTTCTGGATGAGGATTGAGCATCTTTCCTAGGGTCTTCTTTGTTGTTTAGCTTCTTTAGGAGTATAGATTTTAGTATGTTTATCCTATATTATATGACTTACATCAGCTAAATTATATACCTGAGAATGTTTTTATAGTAACAGCCACAGCTTTCTGTAAGATGCCACATTGAAAAACATTTACTAGCATTATTACTATTTTAAAAAAATTCTTACACATTATTAAATGATTCCCACAGTCAAGCTAATTGGCCATATCCATCACACCATGTGGATATGGAGAGAACACATAATATCTACTATCTTTGCAAATTTCAAGTAAATAACATTAACATTCTAACTAAAGTCCCTATTGTGTACAATAGCTGTATATTCATTTATATAACTAAAATTCTGTATCCTTTGACCAATATTGCCCTGTTGCTCCCATCACCTCTATATCTCTGGAAACAATTTTACTCTCCACTTTTATAAATTCAGTATTTTTTAAGAACTAGTACTGTATACATAAAAATGCTTTACATATAACAAAACTTTTTCTATGATTGCTTAACAGATACATAAACTATAGGAAAACTTAACACTGATTATGAAATGGGAATTTCACTAGAAACATGTTTATGTAATTATTTTAATCATATATGAACTTCTACCAAAAAAGCAGTCAAAAATAAAAAGAATTAAAGAAAGAGCAAGTTAAACCAAGAATGCTAGATATAAAGACTGAGAGAGCAAATTCTTCCTACACAATACCAATTAGAAAACCTATAAATGTGAATCATTTATCTCCGTGGTCATTGTGGCTATTTATGAAAAGATTACCTTCTCAAAGTTATAAATGCTATTATAACTTTAAAATCAGGTTTCAATTCTGCAAGGACAAGAGTTACAGTTTTCTATATTCTTCAAGGCCACAAAATGTTAAAAAATTATCAGATTCTGGTGAAAAAATAAAAGATTAAAAAATAATGCAAAGCCTGGCACAGTGGTACACACCTTCGATCCCAGCACTCTGAGAGGCAGAGGCAGGACAGCCTGGTCTACAAACTGAGTCCAGGACAGACAGGGATACACAGAGAAACCCTGTCTCAAAAACAAAAACTAATGCAAACTTAAAATATCTTCCACATTCTACTTTAGGAGATATTTTAGGTAACCATTTAAGGTAACTTCTGGAGCCTGATGAAGTGGCTCTCAATAGGTAAAGGGACTTACCTCATAAGCCTGAGAACCTGAGTTCAAGCCCTGTAAACCACGTAAAGGTGGAAGGATTGACCTAATGGAACATAGCTGCCCTCTGATCTCTACATGTACCATTAACACAGGCTTACACACAATACTGATAAATTAAAATAATTCACAATAAAAATAAAATGACTTGAAATTTTACATAATACTTAATGTAATGGTGATATATAGTACGTAATACAACTCCAAAAATTTGTTATTATATGAAATTCAATTTCTTTTTCTCTCATTTTAAAATTATTTTACCTTTTTATTAAGTAAATGTGTTATTTTAGAACAAACTTCAACCTTGGCAAAAAAAAAAAAAAACAACTTCATTCTCCAGAAAAAAAAAATCATAAAAATAAAAATATATTAATAACAGATATTTCGAAGATTATTATTTGCAAGGGAAAACCTTATAAAATATGTGAAATTAATTAAATTTCAAGATTAAATCCAACTATATATTTTAATCTCACTATTCAATATTCTAACTTATCAACATATTCCCACAAAATAAAAATGAAATAAATTATTGTCATCTCTCTAAGTCAGACTTCAGAGTACCAAGTTTAAATTAACATAAAAGCATTTAACTTTTTACACACTACCAACACACACTTGTGAACTCACTTGGGTAAATATGGATCTTTCCAACAGCAGCAGCAGTTTCTACAAAGTTATTTACCTTGTCCTGGCTTTGCAGTTACAGCTGCTCCAGCAGATGGCGGCTCAAACTCCTGTCAGTTACAATAATGTTTAAATTATACAGTGCCCTATTACAATGTAAAAGTTGTAATGAAAAAACTGTCGTATCAGTTTTACCTTTGCTTTCTTTGAGTCTGGATCAAACCTTTCAAGAATTAACTTAGCTGTCTTATAAGTTTCTTTTTCCATGACTTCTTCAAGCTACAAATAAAAAATTTCCATAAATTGTTATATTTTGAAACATAT